GTTTGTGTCCAAAGTAGAGCTGAAATCTCTGTGTGACTACTATTTCGATGGCAAGGGGAAGGCCATCCGACCAATGATAGTGGTACTGATGGCTCGCGCCCTTAACATCCACAGCAACAGAGCCGGGTAAACGACCCTAAACTCAGTTGTATTTTGCTCTGCGACACACACACACAGAGTCCTGATTGCACCGTTATGACAAACTCTTTTGTTTCAGATAATTGCATTTGACCTCCTCCTGTTTGCTGTCTGTGTTTGTCCATTTTAGAGATTTGCTCCCAGGGCAGAGGGCCATCGCTATGATCTCTGAAATGATTCACACTGCCAGCCTGGTGCATGATGATGTCATAGATGGATCGGATAAGCGAAGAGGGAAGAGAACAATTAATGAAGTGTGGGGTGAAAGAAAGGTAAAGGAGATAAAATCGTTTGGTCTGATATGTTTTTCCGAACCACCCGTTCGTATATCATTCGACCTCCTCTCTTCCAGGCTATCTTAGCCGGAGATTTCATCCTCTCGGCTGCCTCAATGGCCTTGGCTCGTATCGGTAACATCACAGTGGTGAAAGTTTTATCTCAGGTCATAGAGGACCTGGTGCGAGGTAAGTCACGATGAGCCGAGAACCAGCATGCAGAAGAACTGGCCGGAAGAATGCATTTACATATAGCCTTGTGATTGCAGGTGAATTCATGCAGTTGGGTTCCAAAGAGAACGAGAACGAGCGATTCAAACACTACCTCGAGAAGACCTTCAAGAAGACAGCGAGTCTTATTGCAAACAGTTGTAAAGCAGTATGTACGTTCTGTCTTCACATAAATAGCAGAGAGATGGAGAAAAGCCTCGTTTTCTGCACTTTTAATGTTTTTTTTCATTGACTGTCTGCACTCTTTCATTTAAGGTTTCCATTCTGGTAAACTCTGATCCTGAAGTGCATGAAATAGCGTACCAGTATGGGAAGAATGTTGGCATTGCATTTCAGGTACAGGCTGTTAAGCAAAGTGTCGCCCTCAGTGATAAGCAAATATCAGTAATGATTTTTTGCACAGTAGTTATGTAATAAGGCGCGTTGTTTTGTCCTGTAGCTGGTGGATGATGTTTTGGACTTCACATCTGGAGCCAGTCAGCTGGGGAAGCCCACAGCGGCCGATTTGAAATTGGGTTTGGCTACTGGTCCGGTCCTGTTTGCTTGTCAGCAGGTGAGACACCGCCACCATCGCTCTTACTCAGGACATGCAGACAAACTGTGCACCACTAGGTGAATGAGATGGACTGCAAACTGTCTTTAGTTTTTATCTGTTTGTCATTTCAGTTTCCTGAGCTTCATGCAATGATCATGAGACGTTTCGCCTCCAAAGGAGACGTAGATCGAGCCTGGCAGTACGTCCTTCAGGTATGAGCCGTAATACACCATAAGTGAAAGCCTTAAAGGTCCAACCAAAAGAAGAGCTCTCTTAATAACATTTATATTAAAAAATAAAATGATGTGAAATTAGCTTCTTAAAAGTCATGACACATGCATGTTGACATAGATTTGTTAATAATAAAACACTGTACATAAATTTTTACAATAAACGCTTTATTGTGTACAAATAAAGAGCAGAGAGAGATCTAAAAGCGATGTAAAGAACTTTACCTAGTCTGAAGTGACGCTGTAGGTCAAAGTCTAACAATCTGCACTCTGAAACTAACGATGGTAGGATGGTTTTATAGATTTTTGGAAATGCATTTAAAAATCCTAAGTCTCATTTACAGAAGTAGTCGAACTCACTCGGTACTTTTAGCAGCACTGTCACTGTGGTGTAAACTGTGCGAGCACAAATCGCACCTGGATTTGTGCAGATCCTCCAAAGCTTGGTCAGATTAGATGTGAAAGTGCTTAAACTGTCATCTTCAGGGTCTCTCCTCAGATGTTCTTTGGGCTTTAGATCTGGGATTTGGCCGAATCACTCAAAGACAGAGACTTGTCCCAGTGCGTCCCTTAGAGAGGGATCGGTCCTGATTATTAAAAACGCTGTGGAGTGCCTTGGTCAAGGACATTTTGTGAAGCAAGAATTTAATCCGGTCTTACTTGTGCTTTAAGGTGAACTCGCTTCCTTTATTCTTTTATGAATTTCTCCCTTATTGCATGATGCTGCCACACCGTATTTAACCATAGGGTTGGTATAACCAGGTTATGAGCAGTGCCTGCTGTAAGATTTAATCATTCACAAAAGGCTGCAAAACTGTAACCAGAAGTAGGTGTTTAGTAAACGAAGCTGAGCTCTGCGTGACAAAAAAAGCAGTTGTCAATGATTTTAGTGTTTTATTGTTGATAGCAGAGCCAGAGCAGACTTATCAGCAAGCTGATATTATCGTCCAGTATTAGCTACTTGCTGATAGTATCAGCATTTATAGCAGTTGATAAATGATATTTTTTTTTTTTAAAGGATAGGAGAACCGCCCTTCGACCATGTTGTGAGTGGCAGATGCCGGTTGCCAGCTCACGGGTTGAGCAGGTGCCCATATGCCCTCTGGCTGAAATGCAGCGGCCCGGGTTCACATCCAACCTGCAGCCTTTTGCTGCCTGACTTCTTCTTCGTGTCCCCTCTTCACTGCTAACCGATCACTAAAGAAAAAAGGCCCGCCTAAAAAGCAAAAAAATACATAAAAATAAAAAAATCTGTGCATTGAAGTTATGTAGTTTCTCCACCAGAGGGAGCTGTGCAGCTTCTCTGTTGACAACATGTTTGGAACGAGCTGATCCAAGCAGACACATTTAGATAAATAAATGATAAATGTTAGGGAGACTCTGCTAAAAATATTTAGAAAAAGATTTTTTTTAAAATGACCACATATGACCACATGGTCAGTCTTAAAAATCCGATATAGGTTAATAGATTAAAAACTTTAATAATGTGAGTGCTCCTCCTTCTGTTTTAGAGCAATGGTGTGCAGCAGACCAACTACCTGGCCCAGCACTACTGCAAAGAAGCAATCAGGCAGATCAGTAGGCTCAGGCCATCCCCAGAGAGAGACGCCCTCATCAGGCTCACAGAGATGGTGCTAACCAGAGACAAATGATCCTCCTCTGCTGGGCTTCTCTTCAGGCAGCTACTCCAGGGGAGAGGACAGCAATTTACCTGCCACCCTTAGGTCCTTAGACCAGCAGGGTTGGGCAAAATTGGGCGAGGGAGGCAACAGGAGTTTGGTTTGGATGGACCTCTGGTGCTGATCTGAGTGCCAACTCTGGCTTAACAGAACAAAACGGCAAGCAGGGGTCTCTGATCTGAATCGTGGCGCTTTCCTCTTGACTTGAGGTTTGGTATTAAGGATGCACTGATTTATTTTTTTATTTTTTGGGCTCATTCTGTTTAAACTTTTAGTTTGACTGAAACCTGATGCCAATGCCAATATTTATTTTGTTGTTAACAAGAATCATCATAAAAAGAAGAATTTTAAAGTTTTTCAGCTCCTCGTCAAACGGTCTTTGAACATTTAACAGGCCAAAGTTGGTGCAACACAAATGTTACCAGATTTGTTGAAAGCCCCAAACCAGGCCATTAAATTTGTGCATCCTTACGAAGCACAAGTAAACTTGGTATTTAGGCAAATTGTGATGTTTGAGTTTCTTACAGGAAACGTATGATATGTAAATGAATAAGTGCAACTGAAAACTGCAGCTGAACCCTTCACTGCTTACAGTACTGTAACTGCAAAAGCCTCCCGTGGCTCAGACTAGCCGACTGTGAGTGAACAGTTTGTTACCTGCTGGTCCTGAGCTGCGACCGAGGCGTTGCAACATCTGTGTAATTCCAAAGGAGAGGGAAGTGCATCGTTGTGTACTCGCTTGGATCCGTCCTCACCTCAAAGGCCAATCAGTCACGTGTCTTTCTTTTCCACTCTGAAGTGTTATATGGTTACTTCTGTGATGCAAAGTGTCCTGTAACGACCACGGCCTTAACATCTGCAATGACTGTGCGCTCAATAAACCAACTGCTTCATTTTTTTAAAATTTCATTCAAGCCAAAGCTTCGGTTCCTTGTCAAAAGTAATGACACGCGCATGTTGTACATAGATTTGTTTATTATAAAACACTGTACATAAATTTCTCAATCAACATTTTATTATGTACAAATGAAGGGCAGAGAGAGAGATCTATGATGAAACGGGGTGAAAGGTGACCACAGCAGGTAGCGGTTTAACACTGCATTTGGAGGTCATGTTAGATGACAGAACCAGCATGAAAAAGTACAAGATGATGATTCTTATACCTGAGAGACACCTACGTATGGACTGGCTGATTTATACTGGAGATAATGTATTATATACACCCATGCAGCCCAGAGGATTACACGTTCCTAGCAGTCAGCGCGGTCTTTGAACCCAGACGGGGCCAGTGGTGCTTTAAGACCGAGGAGGTACTAGTTGCTTAAATGGTCTACGTTATCACATCTGAATTGTCACGTGGCAGTTTTGGGGCAGGACGATTCCACTCTCAGGTGACAAATTGCAGGAAGTGTTTGCCAGGCTAACAGAGAGGTTAAAACAATTTGCGGTTTTCATGATGGCGATGAGATCTGGTGACTCCAAAGGGCATAATCACAGTTTTCATACACAAATGATCCAGTGACCCCCTCTGTGCCCGTGATTATTAGTAACCTAGAAAGGGTTAGAAATGTTTCAACACTTAGTAAGAAAAAAAACCCTGTGCTGTGGTTGTCCTCATCTTTACTTTGCTAAAATTGTAGTGCACAGGTTCAGAAGCAGGGCACAAAAGACAAGGTTTGAGGACCTAAACAGTCCCTTCACGTTAAGGTTGGGGGTCACGGGTTCATGTTTTTCATTTAATTTGTCACCCATATGCACAGGAATGATATTCCTGCCAGTCACCGAAAGATCTTCCACATTTTCTGCATATAAAATTAACAGTGAATCCTAAAATGCTCCATAATAAGCTGAAAATGGATGGAATGTCTTTGCTTTAGATGGACCCAAATTCATGAAATTTAAAAGAAGGCGATAAAAGGGACGAGCCTGTCATTTACTTCAGTTTTTTAAAGAAGGGATTTCAACAGTGTAATGAGAAAGCAAAGGTGTATACATTTACAACATAATGGAAGGATAATGGCAATAAACTTAAAATTACATTAGCTCTTGAAAAATTTTGCATGCTTTGACGCCGAGACTGATTTTCCCGCAGTAAGTTTTCTTTCCTTTGAAATTCGATTTACAGTATTTATTTGCGAATCACCAACAGTCCATTTGTCATTTACAGAGTTGAGGAGGAGGAGGGCGGCACCACTAATGAAAAGCATCATATGATCGACATTCACTGAATTTACATTACAGAACCCCCCCCTTCCCTCCCGGAGTGGCTGCAGCTCGGATTATGTACAACCAACGGTACAAACACTTCCACTGAAGGTGCTTACGTTACATTTTTATTTGTTCCATCGAAACCTAAAGACTCTTGTTCAGCGTTTTGTTCAGGCAAGATCTCACCGTACATCCTTCAACTGTGTGAGCATGTGCAGTCCAATTCATTTAAAAAAAAAAAAGAAGTTTATTTTACATATTCCTTAAATGTTCCCCACCTGTCCATAACACCAAAATTAACTAAATAGATATACCTTTGTCATTTTATTTGCAATCAGTAAGGGAAAAACATTCCGTCATAACAAAAGAAAAAGGGCGGCGGCGGGGGGGATCACGTGGTTATGCATCTCGGGAGTCAGATTTCTGCCGTCAGTCTCTCAGTGGATTGTGATATGACTGAATAAATATGCTGTACTTTAACTGAAAGGTCCCTTCAGTCGGCGTAGTGCATGATGGACTCCACGTAGTTGCCGGGGAAGAGGCCGGTGGTGCCGTTGCACACGCCTTCGAACCAGCCGTCGTCGTTCTTTTTGATGACGTAAATGATGGCGCCCTCCATGAAAGTCAGCTCGTCGTCCTTGTCCTTGGCGTAGTCGTAGATGGCCACCACTGCGAACAGGAAGGGAAAAGGTTTGCTCTTGGACTCTGTACCCAACGGCAGGACTTCGCCTGCAAATACTTAGAAACGTTAAGCAAACCTTTCTCGATGTAGCTCTTGGGAGCCCACTGGGGGTCTCCGTCGGCGTAGGGGTCGTTGTAGTGCACGACTGCGGCGTCTTCCTCCTCGTAATCCACCGGAGGAGGTGGCGGAGGCGGTGGCGAGTCGTCAAACATGGGCATGTCATCTGGAGGAGGAGGTGGAGGAGGAGTAGGAGTATCTGCAACTATTGAATGGACATCAAAAGTGAGACTCGTTTTGGTTGGAGTCACAAGATGTCCTTGGTGATAGAGGTGGCGGCGGCGGTGGGAGAATCATGCATAAGAAATAAATCAAGGCATGCAAAGTTTGTCTGACAATCAAGCAGGCTGCAAGGCTTCTCACAACTGACATGCCGTATGTGTGCGAACCTCTCAAGTGGCTCATGTAGTTTGTGCTCCTGTTGTAGCTTTGAACATCGCTTCACATGCATATGCAGAAAAAAAGGACACCTATATATATTATTTATGAGCACTTAAATAATGAAAAATACACTCCAAGTCATGCCATTTAGTAGGTTAGAGCTGACGGCATCCACTCCGGGACAAGAAAAGGTATGAAAACGTATAGTGACTGCATCTGACACTATAACAAACTGAAAATATGACGCCGTACTGTCTAGAATATACAGTTAAAGTGTTGGATGCTGACATTAAACACGGCCAACAGGGTCACTGTTTGCTAAATTCTCTGCTTGGTGTCAAAAAGATGGAATT